CAACATTTTTTTTATTACATAGTTTTTATTCCGAAGCTTATTTTTTTTTAATATACGAGGCATTTAAGCTTATTTTGATTTTTTCTCCCTATTTCATAATGGGCTATCTGTGCTTTGCCCAACACGGGTATCGAAACCAGGTTTTTAGCGTTATAAGCCTAGATACTTATCACTGAGCATATCTGTTACTACAGAAATCGAACCCCGGACTTTAACATTGTAAGTCAGCAATCTTACCGCTGACCCACCATCAGTAATAATAGTATATTATTTTCATAATACAAAATATAGAATTTGATGCGTGATGCTCGTTGAAATAAGTAAGTGTGTTATTTTCTTATGTAATGTTTCTATTTGCTGTAAGTAGATTCAAAATGAAATTAAATCTACTAGTTAAGCTGTTAAAAGAAAAACATTAAATTCACTGAACACCTATAGAGAAACGACTTAAACAGCATATAACTCTAGCTTTATTGGTAAGAATCTCAAAGGAACACACGAAGTTTCACCGAGTTAACTCAGTATTCACGCTATTCAGCGTGTTCCGACGAGTTTGAAATTACTAATTATTTAGTCCTATAATCGTAGGATATGCGGAACTCATTAACTAGGCCTTAAAATAACTATAAATTATCTCTTGCCGGCATAGTAGAGGTAATGAGACCGTATTGGAGAAATTTCACGAAGATTCATCTCTAACCTCTAACCCATCACTCATCAAATTGCACGAGCTTAGTCGATTGAAAATCATTATTGTTTGAACTACCGTTTCTGTATTATTTTGGTTTTAGGAAGGGGGTAAGGGGAACAACATTGCTTTCAACTAATTAGATGTAAAATTCTTTGACCCGCTACAACATTAAGAAGAACGAGCGATGTTACTTAAATTACCCGTTGTTCGAATTAGACGGGTGCTTAAAGTTTTAATGATGAAAATTTTATTGTTGTCCTCTTTATTGTAAAATTCATTTATTTGAAGAGGATTTTCGTTAGAAAAAACAAATCAAGAAACAATGGTGTTCTCGCACTCTTATACTCGAGTTAATGATTATTTTTTTTACAGTTTTTATTTTACTGACAATACATATGTTGAACTTATGTCAAACAGCACAGATGGTGAAGCGAGAGATCTATTATTCGTCATATTTTCTTTCTTTTCTGTGTTTGCAGACACATAAACAATACTGTATTTTTCTTTTTTCCCTAGACATATGCTTACTTACTTTAAGCTCAGATAATAGTCTTAATTACAGTGACCTTACTTTCGGGGACTAGTATTTTCACCGTCTGTTAAACACTGTAACGACTAG